GCTAACCACCGAGCCACCTTGCAGCCCCCATTTATACAATATAAATTAGCAAAACAGTAGAACACAAGGATACTAAGAACACAAATTTAACATTATTTACATGAATGAATTGCACTTGGGTTTTATTGCACATGGCACTTTGCTAACGGTCATTATGTGAGTGTGTGTGGTCTGTTGCTGATTGTAAAGTCTCAGCAGCAAGGAAGGACCTGCAGCACTGTTCCTTCAGACACCTGGGGCGACGCAGTCGGTCGCTAAAGGAGCGGCCCAGTGCCCTCATAGTGTCGTGCATGGGGTGGGAGTCATTGCCCACCACCTGCACTGGCTCCAGAGGGCTCCCCAGGACAGAGTCAGCCTTCTTGATCGGCCAATCACGTTTCCATCTGTCAGCAGCTGAGATGTTGCTGCCCCAGCAGACCACTCCAGAGAAGATGGCTGATGCTACCACAGAGTCATAAAAAGTCCTCAGGAGCGCCCCCTGCACCCCAAAAGACCTCAGTCTCCTGAGTGAGTTTTGCTAACAATGTTCTTTGCTCGCCCAATATCCATTTTGAAGCTTTGCATGAGCAGCAACATGTACAAAGCTCGACGTAACAGTGTTTAAGACATCTGCCGCTATTATTCTGGTGAAAGCTGAGTTACAGATATTTTTTTTTTGACCAGTCAGAATGCCATTATAGATATCTGAAATAAATATTTGGACTATTCAAAATCACGTTCATGTCTGTCATTTTCATTGCTCATCGTCAAACTCAGCGATTAGATGCTACAATAGCTGACCATAGGCGGTGAACTTCACTCGTCATGCTTACCTCATCAAGAGCTTCTCCAGACTTGTGCAGATTCTGGATGTCATAGGCCTCAATTAAGTGGCCATCATCCGAGGCACAAATATCTAAGATCAAGAAGCCGTCCTCCTCATACGCGTTAATCTGGTGGAAGGTCGTCAGTGGCTTGGCAAGATACCTGATGGCACTTACCTGCAAAACAACACGAGTAATGAAGATGTTTTACATTCGTTAAAAGCCAACATGAAAGACTGCACTTTGGAAAAATCAAAGTCTGTGTTCAAACCGTACCTTCCCAGTTTGTTTGTCAATCAGGTGGAAGACAGTGTTGAGGCTGGGGTCCCAGAAAAAGCTGTCCCTGATGCTTTTTCTTGTCAGCTTGCCTGTCACAATCTTCAGCAGGTTCATCTTGATGGGCTGTTCAATGAACACCACGTAGTTCTCAGACATGGCTATAATGGATGGAGGAAATTTTATTACAAACCAACAGGTGATATTGACAACTAAAAAAAAAAAACCCTTTCTAGCATTTATTAGGTACAAAATAGTGAAAATATGCTTCAGCGTCATATTTCCTGCTCGCAGCAAAAGATTGTCATACACTACATCATGACATGGTCTGCAGCCTTAAAAGACATTCTTCTTTTCTGTAAGTCAGCTGCTGTAGCACTAAAACCTGAGACAGAAGCCAGCTGTAACTAAATTAATGTTGCTGACATTTGAAACACTGAATTTTGTGACATTAAAGGAGTACGGAGCCCATAAAAAGTCTTCATCTCCTTGGAAGTTTCATTGATTTTCAACACTGAATCATGGTCAGTTTTATTAGGCTTTTTTTTTCTTCTTTTTTTAAACAAGAATTTAAAAAAGATCAACTTAAAGGCTCTTTCATATTTAGAATTTATGTTTTGAATGAGGTGACATCAGTATTTGAAACTTTTTATTATTCTTGTAATAAAAGCTTAATTATATTGATCATGATCGATGTTTAAAAGCAAAAACAAAAACATCTTCAAGGAGCTTTTCATAGCTGCTGTAGTTAATGCGGATTGGTCATGTCTGGCCTTTACCCAGTCAGCTCAATAAGATTAGTAAATCCTTCATTTTCTTGGCAGAATACAAACAAAGAGGGAAAGCCATCCATCCAACCATCATCTATACA